TTCTTTATATATATATATATATATATATATATATATATATATATATATATATATATATATATATATATATATATATATATATATATATATATATATATATATATATATATATTATTTGTTTAAACGTTGTTTTTAAATGGATGGTCATATTTGAATAAGTGCTCTGTTTTTTTATTTATTAAATAGTATATTTATTTTTATCTATAGGACTGAATATTCCGAAAACTTGTCAGATAATTATGCGCCCTTTAAACAAATAAATTACAAATTCATTCATTATATATATATATATATATATATATATATATATAAAGATATCGTACATTGAGTGCTGGTGTTAATAAAATAGTGCTCGATGTAATATAACAGAAACTATTAATTATATATGAATATACTTGAGAAAAAAGTATATTTTGTAATATATATATATATATATATTATGCATGCGTATACATATATAAATGCACACACATAAGTAAACGTATTCGTGTATATGTAAACACACACACACATATATATATATATTATTAATGATTATTACTTTAAATTGGAATTTTTTTTTACATGAACTCATAAAGCGGTGGCAAAATAAATGCTAACGTTTGAAGAAACACGTGTGTAACGCGCAAAAACCCAAACAATATCGATCAGTTAATTTATAATTCGATTTATTACATCATTACTTAAAAAATAAAACGTTTACAACCAAACACCAAGGATTTAGAACAATTGCACAATAAAGTGCACGAACCGCGTGCGCGCGCGTGTGTGTGTCTCTGTGCATTTTTATAAGTATCTCAGACACTTCACGATTTCTACATATAGCATGTTTCCAGTCTCAGGTGGGATTTAAGTGTTTTCCTGTTATAAAGAGTGGCAGCGCTATCATTATTTGAGAGTTTGTCTTTAGAGGAGCATAATTTCAAACGAATGAGTGACATCATCGTTCCTATTAAATCTGGAGGGTTTGTCATTTTATAGACGTATACTGTAGTCAGACGCGAATAAACCATTTTGTTATTAGTGTTTTGTTGGTTGTTAACGCAATTTGGCTATTCAGCCCCGCAACCTCGTGTGCGATGCAGGAATGAATAATGTTGTAAAACTCTAAGGTAATATGTAGATTATTAAAAAACGAATCGTTATCATCCACATTATTAACTTAAGATTCGGATGGCGTTATATTTTTTTTCTATATGATTTATTTGTCTGTTAGCAAAAACGTTCTGGTCATCGTGAGCTAAAGTCAGTAGAATTAAAAGTATTTATCCGATGTATATTTTCCATTTTATTCCCTCAATTACTATAAATAATAACATTCATACGTGTTTATACGCGTGTAAAAATGCGTGTCTCTTAAGTAACTGAGCATTCGAATTATTCTCTATTCTTGAAATGTTGTATAATCTGCAGAGATCCGCGTATAAATGTACATATTGAGTGAAAGATGCGTGTCTCTTTGTAAACATGACTATTCACACACACAATCACTAGCACACACATATAGATTTATTATATATATATGTGTGTGTATGTATATATAAGCATGTCTGTTTACGGTTAACCGAATTTGTAATAATGTTTTTCTTTTTATTTTTAAAATATACCAAACTGAATTTACATTTGATCACAACATGTTTATGGATTCTGTGTTGTCTTTAATGGGTCTGTAAACACGTGTAGATACATCAATATTGTCGTATCGTTTTGTATACAAACAAGTTTATTTCATCAGCGCAGTAGAATCATTACAGAATATAAAAAGCTGTTTGGCAAATAGTTTTTTTTTTTTTTTAATCAGAGTGCAATATAAACAGATAACGAAAAAGCAAAGTAAGAGGACGAATATAAAAATTAAGGGAAACATTCAACAATTATTTTAAGATTTAAAGAGGGGAGACACACTTGGTAATTATTTGGGGAGAATGGAAAGAGAAAGCGGTTTGGAAAGAGATAAAAAAAATAAGAAGAAAATTATTAAAAGCTACAAAGACAGGAAATTGATCGTTAACATCACGAAGGGACACGGTACAGAGGGGAAGAATACAAAGACAATAAATGACACGGGTCAAGTAAAAATGAAAACAAAAAGAATGAAAGAGAGAAAGAAGTTGAAAGGAGATAAAGAGAGTATAGAAATGGCGGTAAAGAGAATAGAAAGAGAGAGAGAGAGAGAGAATAGAGAAAGAGATTTATAAGAAAGCATTGATGCGTAAAAAAACAAAACAAAAACAAACGGAAATCAAAGAGAAAGGTAAAATAAAATGGGAAAAGAGAGAACTATGAGAAAAAAAAAATAGAGGGATGGAATGAAGATAAAAAGAAAAATAGAAGAAAAAAGAAAAACGACAACAAAAGACGGAAAGGAAAACAGATGAAGGACTTTTAACAAGAGAATTACTAGTTTTTTTTTTCTGCTTTGACGATGTTTATAGATGAAAGTGGCAAGAACGATAAAGGAAAAGGCTTCGCGTCCAATAGAGTAAAACTTACCTAGCATGGTCAGTTGAAGCGCATAACAATTATGTTGACGAATTGATTCTCTCATTGACGGATGCGTGAGTTCAGAGTAACACCGTTTTTGTGACATTTTTGCCTTTTATTATTATTATTATTATTATTATTGAGTAACCACGCAACAGAACCGCTACTGTTGTAGTTGTTCCACAATGCCTGATCCCTGTTTTAAAACCGCGTTTATTTTCCTCCCGGTACGTAAGCCTCTTTATTTCTTCTTTTTTTTTCTCTCTCTCTCTCTCTATGTCTTTCTTACACACGCATGCACTCGCTCGTTCGTTCGTTAGCTTTCTCTCTCTCCCTTACTCGCAGTCCCACTCCTTGATATAGTTGCTATCTGTTTCTCTTTCCTTTCACTCTCTCAATCGCACTTGTTTCTAGTGTGGCCTACTCTCTCTCTATAACTCTTCCCATACTCTCACACTCACTCACTTGTACTTCTTTTAGACTTTATGTTCTTTATTGCTTGGCGATTTAGCAGTAGGTACTTTTTATCATCAACGTTCACTTTTCTTTGTAACCATATAGGTGAAGAAAACAAAATTATAGAAACTCATTCATTCACTGGCGGCGAATCACAGCTGTACACATCTATATATAACCCTCAAGAAAACTCAAGGCGGTGTAATGGTTTAAAGATTGGCTCAACTCGAACAATTACAACTGAGTAGTGAGTTCGATTCTCACTGGGTGCCCCCTAATTTCCGCCTTGTGCCACATCTAAGCTACGCTTGAAAAATCACTATGAATTCCCAGCACAACAGATTTCGACTTCTGGTAGTATATACGCAGACGGGTGTCCATTAACACGTGTCAGTAGCGGTAGGGTTCGTCCTTTCTCTAAAATTCCTCACTCATCAACGCATGGTACCTTCGTCATTTTTATGGTATTCGTCATAGAATTTTTTTTTTAATTCAAGAGCTGAAAAAAATGGTTTTCGGTTATTTTTCTTACTACTTTGATTTTTTTTTAAAAAGATTATTTGTTTTGTTTTAAATTCTTACCGTTGTTCTTTTTCCTTTTATTAGGGGAATTATCAGACATACGCCATATCCAGATTTCTTTACTACTTCTGTTTGTTACAGCTTAAATAAAGGGTTTCGTTTATATATATATATATATATATATATATATATATATATATAATCTTTTGATTTAGTTCTTTTCGTTAAATTTGTTTGGCATCAAAATTAAAGAAAATATAATTGCTAATGAATTTAACTTTTATAAATTATTTTTTTAATTATGTTTCATTAAGTACTTTTTTTTCTGACAAGTTTTGAAAACTTTTCTCATTGTATATTTAGTCTGCCAAATATTCCTACTTGATTTCTTTTTCCTTGAGTAAGTTTAGTTTCAATTTCTAGCAAGAAAAATACTGACTTTTGGTAAAAGAAAATCTTGTGATAATCGATTTGAAATTAATATTCAAGGTTACCACTTTTTAAAAAATATTGTTAATTTATATATCAATAAATTCATTTTTCTTTAATGACTGCATATTATGTTCATTACCAAAGTGTTCTTTAGAATTCTAAAAAAACAAAAAGTACTTTGATTTTTAGAAGTAATGGCAGGCAATTCGAAAACATTAAAGAAACTTAAAATAAGTAAAGGATACTTAAAATTAAAAAAATAGGACAAAAATATGCTGGAACCGGTTCAAGTCTTTCTTCTAAATAGCGCAGATGAAATTAAATTAAAACGATGCTAAGCAAATAAATCATTTTCTTTTCCACACGCAAAGACAAAGAGTACAAGTTTTTATGAATTTCTTATAAATAATTATGCACAGTTATTTTTATGCGTGTGATAAACTTTTTCATCATTTCCTCCTCGATCGTATATGATTTACGTTTAAGGGTTAAGGAACAACAATTTAATTTAAGGGTTAAGGAACAATAATTTAATCAAAGAAAATGAAAATGCTGCGTATTATTAAAACAAAAAGAAAAAGAACAGCCTATACAGTCAATATTCACTAAATAATACCATAATTCTGAGTTCGCAACGCGTTCTGAGATAGTACAAAAAAAAAAAGATTCTTATTTTAAAGGAAAGAAACATCTTTCTTCCACTCGGTGCTGTGACTTGAAGGTCTGTTATTGGGCGAATGTGTTTATACAGTACATGAAAGCACATGTTTATAGGCTAGTCCTTCAAAGAATTAAAGAGTTGCGAGTATATTTGTATTTGAATATTTAACTACGTATGGGTAGTTTTTATTCTGTATTTTCAGCCGTTAAATGCCTTGGCTTGAAAATAAAATCCGTGGTTTGCGCGCGCGCGTTAACTGGTATTACTCAATATGCTACAAAAAAAAAAAATTTGACGACATTGCGTGTTTGTATTATTATTGAATAAGAAGAACTTAAGGCCGAAAAAATAAGGTGTATGAAAAATATGTTTGTTTTAATCCAACCCGCCGCCGACGAAAAAAAAAAATTCCTTCCTCCCTTCTCAGTTTTTTTTCTTTTTAGACACTCATTGTTGTAAGAGTCATTGCGTTATTGTTTTGTTTTTAGTGTTAAGACGGAATCAAGACAGCTTCACAACACGACTAAGGACCGATGACAAGAGAGTCATCGTGGCACGCAAGTGAAGACAGAATATAAAAAGGAAAGAAAAAAAAAGAGAATAAAATTAAAGAAGATAAATACAAACTTTAAGTAAAATGAAAGAGAAAAAGAATGACGATTATCAGTGAAACTAAGAAATCGTTATGATGGAAAAAAGAAAAACATAATCGGTTGGGGAGAGAGATGAATTGATAGGAAGAAGGCGAGAGAAGCAATATACAAATATATCTTTATGTAGAAGAGTGGGAGGACGATGAGAAATCGTGGTTAATAGAGTATAAAGAAAAAGTGAGAAGAAAAGAGAACAAGAGAAGTATACGCAAGGTGTGTGGGTTGGGGAGAGTTATTTAGTATAAATATCGGATTCCTTAGAGAGTTGCAAAGGAAGAGGAAAAAAAGGAAGAATTAGAATAAGAACTGGTCAGAAGGAACTAACCAACCAGAAAAAGAGTAAAACAATTGATGAAAATTAAAGAAAGAATAGATAGAAGAAAGAAAGAAAGAAAGAAAGGAAGAAAGAATAGATAGAAGAAAGAAAGGAAGAAAGAATAGATAGAAGAAAGAAAGGAAGAAAGAATAGATAGAAGAAAGAAAGGAAGAAAGAATAGATAGAAGAAAGAAAGAAAGAAAGAATAGATAGAAGAAAGAAAGGAAGAAAGAATAGATAGAAGAAAGAAAGAAAGAAAGAAAGAAAGAATAGATAGAAGAAAGAAAGGAAGAAAGAATAGATAGAAGAAAGAAAGGAAGAAAGAATAGATAGAAGAAAGAAAGGAAGAAAGAATAGACAGAAGAAAGAAAGAATAGATAGAAGAAAGAAAGAAAGAAAGATAGAATAGATAGAAGAAAGAAAGAAAGAAAGAATAGATAAAAGAAAGAATAGATAGAAGAAAGAATAGATAGAAGAAAGAATAGATAAAAGAAAGAATAGATAAAAGAAAGAATAGATAAAAGAAAGAAAGAGATAGCGAAGACTATAGAAGAAAGGCTAAGAGAAAAATCAAGAAGAGACAGTAAGAGCGAATAATCGGTTTGAAAAGCGCTCGGCACGCAACACGTTCATCGCCACGCAAACACGCACGCACATAGTTACACACATACATCAAACTACGAGACGGCCCACAAGTGCATGCAACAGTGCGAAAAGCATAAGGACTGACAAAGCAGCAGCAACAGTTCGAAGTAGTAGTAGTAGGTATTATAAAACTAAATGGACTGTCTTTCACTCTCTTCTTTCTCTGGCATCATCATCTTCAAATAGCAAACATCCAAACCTCCTTCCTCTCCTCGTTTTTTCTCCTCCTCCGTTTCCCATTTTTTTTCTACAGCTGCGACGACTGCCGCTAAGGATATAGGCTACTAACACCACTGCTACCACTCGAACTAAACATTTCTAATACTACTGTTGATGTAACATACTACATTGCGAGTACCTATTGTAACTAACACAACGACTCTTGTAGCATGTAATGCTTTTGTGAGATGAGACCATGAAAAAACAGGACTTACCCTTAAAATATTTGGAGGTAAATAACAGTCTGCAAATAATCTTTAACACCTGCATCTGGCATTGCAATATTTTCCCATTTTATTCCATAAACATTATTATTACTTCATTCAGCAAAATCACAAATATTTTTAGTCACTAATTTACAGACAACAATTATATAACTTAATTCACTACTAGTCTTCTTCACTTACAATGCATAGAATTTTGTTAGTACTACTATTTCTTCTACCAATTTCACTGTTATTGTTATATTTTTCGTTCTAAGACGGAGTTCTTAAAAATATTTGGCTTCACCTCTTCGAAAATTTTCTCCAAGCGACAAAACACTATAAAATTTTTAAAAACTTTCTTGATTGAACCGAGAACTTTTCAGCACATCCTTATATCACTAATCATCACTTCTCATTAAACGAGATATATATGCTATGTAAGAATTAATCTCTTGGTACATGTCAGAGAATAGTGAACAATTTCCTCGCAGATGAAGAAAAATCTTGAAGTAACAGATATGTGGTTATACGGACGACTGCCAAGAATATGTCTGAACAGAACATGTGAGTTGTGAGGAAGCCATAAGGAAAACAGGAATAACAAAGAAACTCCTACTTGCAAACAGAAAAAGACAGTTGAAACTTCTATGATATATAGTGAGAAAAGAGGAACTAAAGAATTTAACACTCACAAGACATATTAAAGACAATAGAGGCAAAGGAAACATTGAGTAACCTACTTAATGAATTTGTGTGAATGGATAACAGTACTTGGTTAAAGAGGTAACGGTAATGGTCATGAACACCTACACCTTGAAAGGACTTGATATATAAAAGAAGAACGACCATTGTTACGTTAAAAAAATATTTACAATTACAGCGTAAAAACTAACAGATTTCTTGCTT